GTCAGCCCCGGCCTTGGGCGTACGTATGCATGTGTCTAGGAACTGCGTGTTGCAGTGTGTGCCCATGACCGCGCTGTCAATGAGTGCTGCAGCAAGGGCGGCATTGGCTCCCGGCTGCTGATGAAAGGCTGGAGGCAGTGATCACCCGACGAAGCAGTGCTTGGGGATCTGCGATGCGCCTACAAGTCGCCATGAATACATTCCTGACATGTCACAATATACAGCTCCACCGCCCATTCATTTCTTTGGCTGCAACATACGCATAGCGGGCTCCATCCATTCTTTGGAACTGGGTCCACTGCAAAGGTTGTGTGGTGCTGGACTGGGTCTAGGGCTCCCACCTGTCCAGGAATGACCCGGGCAGTCCGGGTTTTGAACGCTGTGTCCGGGTTGCATGGCAGCTTATTTTTTTTATGAACACATTTTTAATTTGACTTTTTTTCCATTTTTTTTTATTTCTCTTTTTTTTTTAATCCGGGCCATGCAGCTGTTCTGCAGCAAATAGCTCCTTGTAGTGATCTATTGCTGGCTGTCATTGGCCAGCAAAAGATCCTTATAGCAATGATAGAGCTGCAGCCTCTGTGTCCCGGCTTCCCTACCGACAGGGATCATTGTAACGTCACTCACTATGTCACTGCACTCTCAGCGTACATGCGATACGGAAGCGTTTACATTCACTTCTACAGTGCGCTGTTGTGGAGTGAGCTGTAGAAGAGTCGGAAAGCACTGGAGCTGAGCGTTTAGGCTTCTGGGTTTATTGCCGGTGGGGCCGCTTAGAACGGCCGTAGTTTTAGGGCGGCGCCTGGACGAACAGCCGCTATCCCATTGTAAATTGGCCGCAGGGACTAAAGCGCTTAATGAACGGCGCTGCTAAGTGTGAATTGGTCCTTTTAATATTTTATTCCTTTTTTTTACTGTTGCAAATTACTAAAAAATTGTTCATAAAAAGAAAACACTTTGCAAGTCAGAATTTGAAATACTTGATGATTTACCTGCAATTTTTCAAGTTGGTGACAGGTTCTCTTCCAGACCAGCCGACACATTGAACGGGAACTGCAGATTAAAAACACAAAAGAAAAAACAGCTTTTGATACAAGTTTCTGTCCACATAAATCAGAGAAGAGCACTGGGGCCCGCGAGTTTTATTTTCTAAATAGCACGGCGGAGTTCCACTTTAAAAGGGCCGACGCGAAAAACGCAAGAAGCGCCCTTCCCCTCGGGGTAATTGGCGGCGGCGGCCAACCGGTAGCTTGTTATTGAAGCGGATTTATTCCCCGATGTTTGTGGTTCTTTCTAAAAACAAACTTTGTTTCAAGCAGTCAACATGAAAACAATTAGGACCACAAACGTGTTTTCCATTTCGCCTCCATGTTCCCGTGTTTGTCTTCCCGCGCGCGTGTGTTGGTTGTAAACGACGGGCAGGAAAAAATAAATCTGTGAATGAACTATTTCTGTCTCCCTCTGACGTAAAAGAGACCGTCACGCTGTGTATCCCACGGCGCGATGCCGCGGTAATCTCTGCAATGTGTACAGCCGGGCTGATTGCCTCACCGGCACTGGTATCGCTTGGCATCAATTGGAAGAGTTTCTATGTTTAAGAAACAGTTATTATTGTATCTTTTTATATACAAATACAATCTTTGTTTTACAGATTAACATTTAATACACGATGGAGCAGCGGTCGCCAACCGGTGGTCCGTGGACAGCTGGCTCTGCCTCTAGATAAGCACAGCCCGCTGTCAATCATCCAGCTGGGGGGATCCCAACGGTATTGTCGGAATCCTTCTCGGCTGCGGCGCTCCCAGCATATAGCAGGCAATAGATGGCTATACACTGAGTGGGCAGATTATTATGACCCCCCCATCAGTACTTGGTTGGGCCGCCTGGTGACTCCACGAGATGGTGAAAGGTGATGCGAGGAATCTGACACGGCACTGTTGCCCTTCTGTTGTCTTGTACCAGTCTTGCCCCTCCCCCGTTCTGCCCCAACATTGACTAGTCGCTGACGGCCACAATTCGCACGTTCAGACCCAGATTTTCGGCTGACAGTCCGGTCTTTAAACACTTTGACAACAGCTGCTCTTGAACATTTAACGAATTCTGCTGTTTTGCTGATACTCGCTCCATGGCGCCGAGCGCCAACAATCATCCCGCGCTAGACTTGTGCGCCGTCAAAAAAAGTTTCAGAATATCCGTTATTTTGTATTTCGTAATTAGTGTCCGAAACTCAATTCCTCCTATATACTGAGCTTAGGGTGACGGGAGGACGCTAGTTTGTGTCCTCCCGTTACCCTGAGGAGAACTATGGGGAAAAGCCCTGACCGCATAGTTCTCCTTTAACATTTTAAATGAGAAAAGTAAAACTAATGCAGTCTCCATCTGAGGATCGGTACGCTGCAATATGTGACACATGTTCTTGGATTTAGATACACTTTAACTTCTAATTGTTGACAAAACAAAGTATCTTTTCTTTGACCGAAAGTAACCGGCACATTCACAGCCGCCTCAGATCCACCCTGGGAAGATAATGACAGCAAGGGCATAGAGGCTTTGAATTCACCGTTAACGGATTCCGGATCCAAATGTCGTATTTCGGATTAAAAAAAACTACCATCAACTCCAATATAAATGTATTTTGCTTTTTAACTTCAATATAACGAATGTTCGTAACGGAATTTCGTATTTCCTGCCTGTGTATTGTAATGCGACTCTCAGCAGCAGCGGATCCGTATTTCGGATTAAAAAAAAAAAATCTTGTCATGTTGTTCAACCTCATTTACAGGGGTAATATTAGTTCCTGTTTCAAAGAAATTCGGATCCGAAATTCGTTAACGGAATTTTGTATTTCGAATATAATTCGGAAACTGCAATTCGGATTTCGGATGCTTCCGAATTTACGAATTTCAGGAAAATTTGTACGTATTTCGATTCGATTTCGATTCCCACGTTCAAAGGCTGTTTCATCGCGTTGTTTCCCCGAATCTTCAGAAACAAATCACTTCTACTGTCGTGGTAACCAACCTGCTTCCCTATTTATAATGGTCTGGCCCTCTAGCAACTTCAGCGCCAAATTATAGCTAATTAGTCAGGTGGTCATAATAAACTGGCCACTCAGTGTATAGCGAGCTTTGGGTCACGGGAGGAGGTTAGTATGTGTCCTCCTGTGACCCTAAAGAGAACTATGGGATAAAAAGGTGACCCCATAGTTCTCTTTTAACTACTCTCTAGGGGTGAAAATAAATAAGCTATACTCACCCCATCTTCAGTCCTATGGCAGTCACCGGTCACCGCTCCTGCTGTGGTATGCCCATCATTATGCCTAATAGAACTAACTGAACTGTATTAGACGTGATGACATCACGGGTCCATAGACCACCATAGACCAGAGGAGAAGAGGCTGCGGGGGTCAGAAGGGGACTGAGGATCAGGTGAGTATTTCTTAATTAACCTTTGCAGTGCTTGGGGTAGCCCCGCTGCAAGAGTTCATACTTTTTAAAATCTTGGAGTTGTTCTTTAAGCAGCCAGATCTACTGATAAATGGACAGAGTTTGGATTATGATAGATAGGACTAGATTTTTCTTCATGATATCTATAGTAGAACATCACATAAAGATTGGATGTGACCCACGTTGCTAAATGCCCATCACCCATTCTTTTGAACCAGAACCTATTATTACCCAATATGTTATTATTGACCTTACATTGGATGTTGATAGTTGACCCTCAGATTAAAAAGTGAGGCATTGGAAGTCCTTTCACACACAGCGCTAGGTTCTGATTCATTAAAGTGACATTAAACCCTCAGATTTTTTTAACATAAAACAATACTGTAATGTGCGCCTTACTGTACTCCATGGTAGTTTCCCTTCTCTTTGCTGCTCTTCCTTTTAAATCTGTATCTGTTCTCATGCTCTGCAGAACTTCTGTTTTGCAGCAGACTGCCTTGTCTCTGGAATGGCTACATGGTGTCTGTGTGTGTGTTGGTTTGAAACCTGAGCCAGCACTACAGGAAGAGGCAACCAGCTGCAAAGGGAAGTTCTCCCCCAGCATGAGAAGAGATAAGGATTTAAAAGGAAGAGCAGCAAAGAGAAGGGAAACTACCATGGATTACAGTAAGGTGCACATTACACTATTGTTTTATGTTAAAAAATCTGAGGGTTTAATGTCACTTTAAGGTTACATTATAAGGTCAACATGAGCTGCACTACATTTCCTGCCCACTACTGATAATTACTAACAACAATGTATCTTTCTGTTTTTCAGATATTAGATAAATAGAGAATCATTGGGGTGGAATATTGACCTTTGACGTCAAGATGAACCAACCTGATACCTGGAGGCTGGTGAACTTCAAAGAGAACACCTGGCACCAACAAAGTGTAATATGCAAAAGGTCCTTCCAGACCCGCTTCATGCAGAAGGACGGCAGCTGCAATGTCTACTTCAAGAGCATCCTTGGGGAGTGGGAAAGCTACGTGGTAGATATCTTTACCACATTGGTCGATATGAAGTGGCGTCACATGCTTATAATCTTCACCTTATCGTACATCCTGTCCTGGCTGTTGTTCGGCTTCATCTTTTGGCTCATAGCTCTTCAACATGGAGATCTAAGCAACATGGACATAGCGCCTTGCGTTGACAACGTGCACACGTTTGCGGGGGCGTTTTTATTCTCTTTGGAGACGCAAACAACCATCGGTTATGGCAGCCGTTGCGTAACGGAGCAGTGCTCATTCGCCATTATAATGGTAACCATCCAGTCAGTATTAAGCTGCATCATTGACACCTTCATCATTGGGGCAGCAATGGCTAAGATGGCCACTGCCCGTAAAAGGGCGCAGACTATACGCTTTAGTTACTTTGCACTTGTGGGGTTGCGGGACGGCAAACTGTGCCTCATGTGGCGTATTGCTGACTTTCGATCAAACCATGTCGTTGAAGGAAACGCAAGAGCTCAGCTTCTGCGTTATTATGAAGACCACGAAAAGGGAATCACCATGGAATACAAAGACCTAAAACTGGTGAATGAGCAGATCATATTGGTGACGCCAGTCACTGTCGTGCATGTTATTGACGAAGACAGTCCCCTGTATACTCTGGATCGTAAAGCCTTGGCCGCGGACAGGTTTGAGATCTTAGTTACGTTCATCTACACGGGCGACTCCACTGGAACATCTCACCAGTCTCGAACATCCTACCTGCCACGGGAAATCCTCTGGGGTTTCCGGTTCAACAATATCTTGCAGGCCAAGAAGAAATATTACAAGGTGGACTGTGAGCAGTTTGAGGAAATGACCGAGTACTATGCCCCGTTCTGCAGCGCCAAACAACTTGACATAAATTCCATGCCTACTAGCCCAACCGCAAGTTCAGCGCTCAACGGGTTCTCTTTCGAGGCACCTCCAAACACAGCACGTATTAGGCTATCCAGTAGAATCACATCTGCAGACCCATTGACCGCCATCTTTCACATTTCTGAATCGAAGGATTCTGTGCTAAATGATTTATCTAAAGTGGCATCCACAAGCTCGATGCCCAATGGGTTATTCCACGCGCCACAGAATATGACCGCCGTGGCATCTCTTGGTACTGCAGACGACAATAGAGAAGACCTCGCAGGATATAACATAAGAGAGGACATCGAGGACAAGTCCTATCACAGGGTCTTCAAGACTTTAAGTAAGATATCGCTGGAATCCTAAACGGGAAACACATTTTTGATGACTATAACGTACAATCGAATCATTCTTCACCCAGCGTCATGCCTACTTTGCACCTTCTAGGAAAACTTTAGTATGTAAGCCATGAGTAATATTGTTCCAGAAAGCCGTGTGATCTGCTTTTAATCTGGGGATCAATTTTAAGCAAGGGCATTTCAAAAAGTGACATTGAGTGTTTTTTTCTTTAACATTCTTATGCAATGGTTTTGCAATTTGTTCTGGTTTATAAGCATCACTGTAATACTGTGTACTATGCTGGTTGCTTCTGGCTATATACTGTATACGCTATACTTGTTTGCTCTAGGGGACATTTTCTGTCTCAGACACAACAATAAGATCAAGGTCCAATGAGCACAAGACATTGCGATTGGGTAATAACTGCTCTCTGAAGGTTTTAACGCTACCAGGCCAGAGGTGGGCGACGGGAACTTCCGATCATTATTGGTATTGGATCTGATTTAACAGATTGTTTTTACTTGTGAGTAGATATTAACAGAGTGGATCACCTCCTGGCTTGTTAAATATCTCCGAGACATCACCCAACCTGAATTACCAGTCCTGCCTTCCCTGCACAGCCGTTACAAAGGGTACGCCCTCTTAATTGGACTTTTGTTTAATTTGCATCCCAGAGAAAGTAGCAGGAAAATGGGGCCCTCATGTTGAGGAAGTAACTTTGCTGGTAGAGTTTGGCTGTCCTTAAAATCCCACTCCAGTCCCCCACTTCCCATTCTTTATACATACCTTAAATCTTGCAGGCCTCTGGGTGGTGCAGTGACATCCTTCCTCTTCTCCAGTAGTGGCAGTTGGTGGTCCTTACCTCTGGAAAGCCTGACCCTCATGTGACTATGATTAAGTGCTATTCTGTGCAGGAGCACAGGCTTCATACTGACACCCACCAAAGGGTGTGTCCGTGACTTTCTGGGAATGAAGAAATAATGTCACCAGCACACCATAGAAGTAAAGCAATAGTCCATTTAATGACACATTGCCATTCGATGCAAGCGCTCGTGGTCACTACGAGCACCCACCCACCCATACGGGTTTCTTCCGGTAAGGAGTGCAGCAAGACCTCTGGTTCTGAATATTGCATGACTTTCTGGGTTCACATAACTGAATTGAATAGAGCTGGACAGACCGGCTCTGGCTTCCAAAAGGTGCCACGGGGCTTTAAGTGATACATAAAGGTGGGAGGTCAACACCTATAACTGTGGTGCTTGTTGCTGACTTGATAAAGATGAACTTATATATGGCATGTAGCGAAGTCAATTCATATTTATGGCTTATTCATTAAAGAACTTCACTCTTGTTAAAAATTGAGAGTGGAAGCTGTTATAGCTACAAAGGGGGTGGGGGGAGGCAACTCCATATTTACATCCATGGTTTGGGAATGGGATGTCCAACACGTTCACATAGGTGTGATGATCAGGTGTCCACAAATGTGTAGAGGATCTTTCCTGCCAGGAGCCAGTTACATAACGAAAAGTCTAGACATTTGGTCATGAGAGATCTGCTGACGAGGACCTTCAGAATTCAGATGACCAGATCCGCCCATTCAGCAGAGATCACATGACCAAACTGCCTAGGCTTTTGGTCGTTAGTTCAGCACTAGAGGAAACCTAGAGCAGCATTTCCTCCAAGAAAGGGGAGTATTTCAGGCCTTCTGCTACTCTTTAGTCATCCATCTCAGCAACATTGCTAACTTTTATGTGAACAGTTCAGAATAGACTCATCCCTGTGTGCTCTTTAATACATATGAGTTCACAGTTGGATATTTAAAACAAGTTTGGTCCCATTATTGAACTCACATCTTCACATTCTTCGTTGGATGGTAAGGACGAAATTCAGATATACTGAAGGGGAGGACGGAGATCAGATAGAAGACTGAAGGGGAGGACGGAGGTCGGATAGAAGACTGAAGGGAAGGACGGAGGTCAGATAGAAGACTGAAGGGGAGGACGGAGGTCAGATATGAGACTGAAGGGGAGGTCGGAGGTCAGATAGAAGACTGAAGGGGAGGACGGAGGTCAGATAGAAGACTGAAGGGGAGGACGGAGGTCAGATAGAAGACTGAAGGGGAGGACGGAGGGCAGTAGAAGACTGAAGGGGAGGCCCGAGGTCAGATATGAGACTGAAGGGAAGGACGAAGGTCACATAGAAGACTGAAGGGGAGGACGGAGGTCACATAGAAGACTGAAGGGAAGGATGGAGGTCAGATATGAGACTAAAGGGAAGGACGGAGGTCAGATAGAAGACTGAAGGGAAGGACGGAGGTCAGATAGAAGACTGAAGGGAAGGACGGAGGTCAGATAGAAGACTGAAGGGGAGGACGGAGGTCACATAGAAGACTGAAGGGAAGGATGGAGGTCAGATATGAGACTAAAGGGAAGGACGGAGGTCAGATAGAAGACTGAAGGGAAGGACGGAGGCCAGATGGAAGACTGAAGGGAAGGACGGAGGTCAGATAGAAGACTGAAGGGGAGGGACGGAGTACAGATATAAGACTGAAGGGAAGGACAGAGTTCAGATATAAGACTGAAGGGGAGGACGGAGGTCAGATAGAAGACTGAAGGGAAGGACGGAGGTCAGATAGAAGACTGAAGGGAAGGACGGAGGTCAGATAGAAGACTGAAGGGAAGGATGGAGGTCAGATAGAAGACTGAAGGGGAGGACGGAGGTCAGATAGAAGACTGAAGGGAAGGACGGAGGTCAGATAGAAGACTGAAGGGGAGGACGGAGGTCAGATAGAAGACTGAATGGAAGGAGAGAATTCAGATTTAACACCAATGGCATCCAGAGGACGATGGAGCAGATGGAAGGGTTTTGGATCTTACCAAATCATACGGATTTGATCTTCCATGTATAGGTATTATCGCTGTCACTGTATAGACATTTAATGTGATTTTTCAGGTCAAGAACTATTAAATGCACATTTTTTTTAAATCTAACTTTTGCATGTGTGTTTTTATTGGAAGGTTTCTTCACGGAGGACACAGAACCTTTGTACTATGGTAAGGGATGAGAGAGCTTTCATTTCCTCAAAGTTTGAGTAAACATTGAAGTCAGTAGGGTAAGGAGAAATGAAAGTTGCTATTAAAGGTTTTAAGGGCTTTAAATAATTGCCGAGGGTTAGCTCTGTGTATCACCAAGTGATGACATGAAGCTCTATGTGGTAACAATGGCTGCAAAGCGGTCAATTAACAAGTACCAATGGTGTCTCATTGGAGGAAGGGAAGTGACTGTTTTGCTCTTCATACATGGAGGTTCTCGGGATTTTTCACATTTTAGAAAAAAAAAAGGCTGCTGGTTTGGCCTTTATTAACTACTATTTCTGTTGGTCTTGTTCACTCTCCTCAATAGCTTTTTGAAAATGAGGTCCTCAGAACTGGACACAGTATTCTAAATGAGGTCTAACTCAAGATCTATATAGAGGGATCAGGACCTCTTTCCTCCTGCTGGGGATCCCTCTAGTGATAGATCTATATAGAGGAATCAGGACCTCCTTCCTCCTGCTGGGGATCCCTCTAGTGATAGATCTATATAGGGGAATCAGAACCTCCTTCCTCCTGATGGGGATCCAGTGATACACTCCTGAATTCTATTTGCTTTACCAACTGCCAGGCCACACTGGTTGTTCCTTTTGCAATCTGAAATAGGCGCCGCCTAAGGTTTTTCCTCTGCAGTTCTGCCCAAGACTGTACCCCCAGTATCATTCTTTTTCCGCAAGCGCATTATTTTGCATTTATACTGCAGTTTCCACTGCTTTGTCCAATATTCCAGCAATGTCAAATCATGTTCAATGTCACACACACCTCCAGGAATATCAGCCTGGAGATGGATGAATTGGCTCATCTATCCTTAGGGCAGGTCAGAGGTCAAGGCTTCTATTCTGTGAATGTGAAGAGAGGTCACCCACCTGCATAGCAGTGGACAGATAACCCCGCCGCTGTCATCTCTGCGCGGATTCATCGCCCAGGTGCGAACCACGAGGTCGTTAGCCGAGGGGTAAAATTTAGCCTAAAAAACAAATGACGGCTCCTAGAAGACGGGGTCATGCAAGGTACGGCTTGCATTTACAAGACAGGCTGCTCGTTCCCATCTGGGATATGTAAAGATATTTAGCCTCCCGTCCTTATTTACAAGACAGCTCCAAATAAAAAGGTTACAATGTGGGCGCTAATCAACTAAAGATTATCATTCTCTGCACTTAAAGAGCAACTACAACCAAAAACAAATAAAAAAGATTAAACTTTTTTTAAAGGAGACGGATGGGGGTCAGGGCTTTTCCCCATAGTTCTCCTTAGGGTAACGGGAGGACGCTAGTTTCTGTCACCCTAAGCTCAGTATATAGGGAGCTACAGCTCGCGGTATACTGAGACGCCGCAGCTGAAGCGGATCCCGACAATTATGCCGGGATCCGCCCAGCTGCGTGAGTGACAGCTGGCTCTGCCTATCTAGCGGCAGAGACAGCTGTACCCGCCCCCTCCCCCGTGCGTTCC